CATTTTTATTTCGAACCACGTTCTTAGCCGTATCAGTCTTTTCCTTTTTGGTGAGCTTAACATTTTTCTGGAAAGCCTCAAATAAAGCTTTACATTGATTATTTAAATGACCTGAGTTTCCACAATGAGTGCATAAACTTTTAGACATGTGAATATTGTGTGACACAAGATTATTCTGTTTTTTAAAACCTATCCCACTTCAACTAGTGGTTTGCCTTTCTTGAATCTGAGTTAAAATTTCGGAGGACCTGGTCCATCTAAGATTTCGTTCCAGATCCAGTTTGGTATGATCAAGATTTTCTTGTAGCAACCTATTCCTTTCTGTTAAAGCTTGACAATTTATGGTTAACAATTTTATTTTTTCCTCTAGAGCTAATTGAAGTTAACTAGCAGAGTTTTTGCCCTTGTGACTTAACTCTGATATTTTAACCTGTTCTTTTAATTTGTTTTGAAGAAAGTGATTGTGTCTCTCAAGATTGTCATTGACTTCTCTTAAAGATGCATATTTTTCCATCATTTGTCTACTTTCAGAATTGATTGACTGATATGCATCTATAAGAGTACTCAATAAGGACTCTAGTTCCTTTTTAGAATATGATTCAATATTTACTTTGATGTGATGAAAACTTACCTTGCTTTGTTTGTCATTTTGTTCATCATCTTCAGAATCTGTTTTAGCAATGAGTGCAAGAAAATCATATTTATTTGATTGTTCTATTGCAAGTAGTGACTGATTCTCGAATCTTCCATCCTCAAATTCTTCTTCTGATAAATCCCCCATAGAGGCGAAAGCTCTTTTCATTGAAAGATCCGCTTCTTGATTGGTCATTCTTCTGTTTGTGGGAATGTACTTATCATTCTTGATTTCCTTCTCTTTTTCCAAACTATTCCTCTTTTTCTCTAGAGCTTTTAATGGACAAAACTTGACAAAGTGATCCAGACTTCACACTTATGACATACTTGATCTATTGGGTTTTCAGTGATTTTTTTAGATATGTTTGTCCCTTTTTTAACATTC